ATGTTTAAGAAACTTGTTGTCTGTATTTGATAATTTGATAGCGATTGCATGTTCTGTTGCCTGTTGATCACCAAAAATAGCTACGATTTGTATCTTCTCATTTTTTCCTTTGCTGCAGACTGAGAACAATTCTTTGGGGAGTTGAGTATCAGGATGACTTGTTCAATTTTTTGATATGTTGTCTTTCCTGTGAGTTCATCTGCTGGTACTTCTATTTTATATCTTTCTTTACCATATTTGACTACTCCATCAAATGAAGAAATAGGTCTTGGTTTATTTGTTTTCCTTAGGCCTATTTGTCTGTCTTTCCCCTTCAACATGGTTGGTCTTGTTCGGTTTCACTTTCACTGTTCATTTTTGTGTCTATATCATTGATTCTGATATTTCTGTTCCTTTTTTTCAGGAGTTTATTCTATTCTTGAGGATTTTGGAGACCTCTGTTAATATCTTGGTTTGCCTGGATATCTTTGTTCTCTTGTTATCTATTTGTCTCAACTTTCTTTGGATGGGTTATTTTATGCTTTGATTTGACTGTATTCTCTTGTTTGGTGGATGTGCGAAGCTTCTTGATTTTGGGCTGTTGGGATTCAGAGCTGTTTAGTATCATTTTGGATTGTGAGAACTTGTAGTTGTTTCGTTTAAGTGTTAAGTTTCTTTGCATATGGTTGAATCCTGAGTAAAGTTGCTTTCTTGACTGTTCTTCTTTCGTATCTGATAGTTTTGTATAATTGTCTATTAAGGACTTTATTGTTTTTTGAGTTGCTTGCCTTCTTTTTTATTCAGATTGATTGTTGTATCATACATGAACAGGAAAGATTTTTTTGGATTTTTATTGATTATAAATATTAATTATTAAAATATTATTATTAATTTATTAACTTTTTTTAAAATTTTTATGTTAATATTTTATCAATATCAAATCAAACTAAATAAAATACAATAATTTAAAAGTTTAAAATATTAATTTATTAATTTATAAATTTATTAATTTTAATTATTAGTTATCAAGAAAATTAAATTTAAAAATTTAATATTAATTTCAAGTATATATTGTATATAATAATATAAGATATAATTTAAAGTATAGGTATTAGCTATTTATGGCTTTGACTTCAGTATTTTCCTTCCATAAAAATTCTATATTATATTATTAGTTTTTTTTTTTTTTTTTTTTTTTTTTTTTTAAGGTGAACGTGTATCGATACAAATCTTTATTGATAATTACTATCTAGATGTGACATCAAGTGTCTTCTACATATATATCAGTCAATCTCAGATTATATTTTTATGTCTTCTATATACATAGAATTAACACTGCCTATTAACTATTTCTAGTAACAGCCTACCAATCCACCTTAATTACCCAACTATATGAACTTACCCCAGTGAGATGAGTCCACACGTCAGGTGGGATTAATCCAAGGGATGGAAATCCTGCCACCAGTTTTAAACTATCTGAACCTGTTAATCCAATGAGGCGGAGAGCTTTGTGTACCTTTCAGGGTTGGTTAGAACACCCAAATAACCCGTTCAATACTTTTTGCCTGGTTCCTCAGAGAAGGTACTATACTTCTTGTCACCACCTGCGGCTTCGGATTTCCTTTTTGAGGTCCTCTTCTTTTAAGCAAGCACCGGATTGGGATAGCCCCAGGCTAAAGTGTTCTTTGTGCTACGGAGTCTGCCGTGCCAGGGGGGTTGAATCGGCCTATTGGGTACGACATACATAGGGCCTGCACAACCTACATATGAAGGAATTCTTCGACAATCATCATGCACCAACCGGACGATCATTACGCCGCGACACCTTAATGGGAAATCACAATCTCAACACCTTACCGGATCGGCATGTGAATAGTTTCTTATGAGAAACAGCACATGATTGGTTACGGTGCCAGATACCATATTGATTCTATTCAACCGCCTTCACCTGGGGTTGAACCGGTATCTTGTGATCTGACCTGTGGAGCACTAACCACTGTGCTATAGACCCACAGGTCTATATTATATTATTAGTTATATATTAATTTTTTATAATTAATTAATTATTTTTTAATTAATTGATTTTTATACAATTTATTAAAAAAATTAATTGGATTTTTACTTCAGGATTATTATAAAGTCATGTGTTATTAATGTATATATATATATATTATTTTTCAAAAATTATAGACAAAAAATTAATAAATATAATAGATATTATAATAAAATGATAATAATTATAATTATTTTTTATTTTGAATTTATATAAGTTTTAAGTCACATAATGTACAGATATTAATTATTTGTTCACCTTCAAAAATAATTACTTATATAAGTATTTAAAGCCTTTTCAAGTTGTATATTTCTATGTATAAATAAATCTTTATTAAAATAACAGTTGACTTATATGTATATATTTTCATTTATTTAATAATAAATTGTAAAAAGAGCTTAATTTATAATTTTTTATATAATATAATTTTAAATATTTTTTTAAATATTTATTAGCAAATATATTTTAATTTATCAAAATTTAGATAGGTATAGAAAAATTTTGACTTTATTAACTTAGTAGATCTGATTGAATTTATCAAATTTAATTTGATATTAGCTTTGAAAAGCTTTTAAAAACTTGATAATATATTAAATATACTTCTGTTTAGTAATTCCGTGACATTTGCTTTTAAATTTTGTGATTATTTAGGGTGGGGTTAAATTAGCAATCCAGAATAACTTCAAATTGCTTTAACAATCAATTTAGCTAGCTAATACGTATAGGAAAGAATTTACGCATCCTCACAAGGAGCTACTATATCAAAAACATATTTAAAGTAATTTTTAAATCTTTATTGCCTTGTTTGTCGACTGTCATAAGATTGCCAATATTACTCTGAATTTCTGAATGTTTTTCCCACTAGATTTTGTTAATCTAGATCACTAAAAACCTAACTGCCTTTGTAGTATTTTTAATCCTGTTGTGCATAGAAAATTTGTCATAAACTTTGACACATGCCTAAAGACATTGTTATTTTTGCGAGGACTTTACCAATTAATTAAGACATCTATAAATTGTAGAGCTAAATATCTTATTCTGTCTGTTCAAACTCTACGCCTTGACAGTGTAAGGGGGATGGGACGCGACATCGGTCACGTGACCGATTGTCGCGAGAACGATAAACGGCGCCACATGGGTGATGCAACAATTAGATAATAGAAATAATAGAAATAATAGAAATGAAGGAATGAAATGTGAAAAAATATTATGTCACTACTTTATCCTCGACATTATTATGTTTCTAATTTTCAAATGACATTGCCATGTAAACAAAAGAATGTATAAAGGAGACAAAGTTTAATGTTAATAAAGGAGAGAATTCGGCTAAAATCAAATATGCCTCTAAACTAAAACCCCTACCCCAACAGTTAAGCGAATCTCCGCTACTATTAACGACAGACTCGCTGAATACCCGTTACAACGGATATCTTTTACTTTTTCATTTAAGGTATAAAACTGTCTCGACTAATTCTCGAATGCAACTTACACCTTTAAATGCTTCATTAAAATCATTAAAATCGTTCGTTAATTTACTTTGGTCTAAATTTTTAATGCCGAAAAATTAATTGTTCCATAAACAATTCGACGCATTAACTTCTTGTCATGATTTTTTATCATTTACTGTATACAGAAATGCCTGATAGGCATAGCGAACATAATACGCCAAAAGGAATACCTTTTAGATCTTGAGATGTTGATATAATGAATCATGTAATTTTCATGATTCATACCTTTAACGCTTAACCGAACCACGGCGCACAGATTGTTTATAATAACTCACAGAGTTAGGCTTCATTATCTTATTTATTCTGTTCTTCCTTCAAGATGTTTATGTAGGATTCTTAATATGTTCGCAAAATCTCCCGTAACTACTTTTTCTATAATTAAATAGGGCATGTTTTAAATTGCCTGAGTTAAGCAAAACAGGTATTTAGAATGTAGCGTATTTCTCGATAACAAGTTATCTTTACTACTCCATTAATATTAAACCTCAATATATATCATAAAACCAATTCATTGGATTTTCTTTTAATCAATGAGCCTCAAATTCAGGGAGAGACATTTGCTCTTATTAGACAGGATCCAGGTCGTTATAATTATTTTGAATAAAACGTAATTATAAAAAAAAAATAGTAAATTTTATCCTTATTTCACGTGCAGTAGTAATAAGTATAAATATTCTTTGCCCAGCGCATTTGCGCAAGATAATTGAAATAAAATAAAGCAAGTGTTCTTACTTAAAAAACTCTGACTTGATCCATCAAAAAGTTCGCTTAATAAAATTACTACACATCACTCTGTCAATATCACGTCCAGTTTAAAACCAATCAACTCTTCGGAAAGCATGTTATTTTTAGCCTCATCCGCTATTTTTTTTTTTGTTATTTCAGCAATATTCTTTCAAACAAATTACTTCACACGTGATAAAGATATTAAAAAGGTCGGAGATCATCCAAATTTAGAATAAAATTAATAATAACCTTATCGTAGAAATCAAAAACTTTAAAGCACATAATGTCAGCTACTCCACAGAAGTAAAGAAAAAAGCACACCAAAATTCTCGACAGAATTAGTTCTCTTGAGAATCCATTACATCCAGGTTTGTGTCCATTTATGTTAATAACTAGAATTGATGGATACAGATTGAAGAGCACTGAAATTAGCTTAATTGTCGATATGCAACGATAACGGCAGATAATCGTATAAAGATATCCATATCGGGTTTTTATTTTCCTTCTACAAGCTCAATGTTTACGTTCTTAAAATATTTTTTGATTTGTGACCTTCATAAAATGACCTGTTTCGGCATAGTCATTTTTTGTTTAAGGTTTCATTTGAACTTTTTTCATTCCTTTATTGACGCCCTCGAATAATCGGATTCAAGGGCATTAAATTTTAATATAAATAAATAATATAAATTTGCTTGACAAAGCTGACTTAATTTTAACAATTCTCAAAATTCAACATGATTCTTACTACACCAAGCTTTGATACTGTAGCTAAGTTCAATGAATTGCCGGGCCTTTGGGAGTCTAATGAAGCTAAAAACAAACGAGTTACTGAAGAAACTTTTAAAACTTTAGGAGAACTCTTCGTGAACTACCATATTGAAAATATTTTTGGCCTTACCCTTTTGCATATCCATTTTTTGCTTGAAAAGGGGGAAATTTTACTTGAAACCGGTTCATTGTCTGATAATCAACAAAAGGTCATTAGCCAACCGGTCAAAGTTGATGAGTTGATTTCTTCTGTTCAAGGATCTAATTGGAAAATAACTCCGGATAACTTATACGTACCTTACGAGTTCAAACTTGAAAATGAAATAATGTAAATTCTGCCCTTTGCCGTATTTTTGTTTTAATATTCTACATTTTTATTCTAAATCTCAACTGTTTGTATCATACCTAAAGAAAGTAGACTTCTCTTCTTCTGGAATTCGGTCGTTTCTCAATGCATTTTCAAGAAAGTTAAATGAACTTGACTAACCGATATTTTTGGTATATGCACTATTGAAAAAGATAGTTCACTTCCTGGAATTGAAAATACTGAGGGAAGAAAAAATATTATAGTTCCGCTTACTGATTCCGTTAAACCTGGTGACCAAATTGAAGCAGTTTGGAATTTTGTGCCTGGCCTTGATAATAAAGGGAAAAAATTGATTACCCGAGGATGCTCCAGATCATGCTATTCAACTTTACAAGGGGATCATAATGCATATCACACTAGATCATAATTCTTCATCTGTAATCTGTACAAATGTTATATTTTATACGAAATGTAAAGAGTATAAACAAAATTTGTTTGTTTGTCCACGTAATTCTTCATCTTTTAATTTTGTATGCAATATGTAGATAATGTAGGTGTGTTTTACTATGATTACTACGTAATAACAATAGTTATTAATATAATTAGGTGTTAAATTGACTCACATAATTTGTAAAACAGAAGTAAGAATAACGATTGTTTGGTTTCTAAAATCGATATTGTTTCTATCCGAAAAAAAAGTTAAAATAGATAATTAATAGCTGAAAGATACTAAGTTTAAGTTGACCAATATAATACGCTAAAGTTTCAAATATACAGTATACAGAATTGGTTCGATTCTAAGGTTAATACGTAAAGTCAAGTATAAGCGACAATGATGATTTGCTTGTAAATATCTATATATTTTTACCAATAAACAATAAAATTATAACCTTATAATTCCAGGAAAATTTTAAAATACATTGCTTTTTGTACACAATAAATATACAGTATATTGTAGGAGGCAAAAATAAAATGGTCGAGACGCGACTATAGTCATGTGACCAATTTTACCGGAGTATCGCGAAACATCAACCTGTAATAAGAATAATTGATTATTGACAAACAATAGGGAGACATAATATGAATCAATTACTTTTTTTAATAAGCCCTAAATATTCTATCGATTTCGATCTTTTTCTTTTACTTTCTAAAAGCTTCCATCTTGATGTCTAAAAGGTGTACAAAAAGAATAAATGATATCTAATAAAGACAGAGAATTCGGTCAAATAAAACCCTTGTCTTTTGAGTTTTAATTGTTAAACTAAAGTGACGGTTACGCGTATTCTGCTTCCGGTTAGCGACAGACTTGCCGTTAGCCCGTCACAATACTATTCTAATTATTTAAAAAATCATAAAATAGTGCTTATCTTAATCAGAACAATTAATTATATGGACAAATATGTTATTAATACTCTAATAGATAATTAAGTTAGTATAATAAATAATAAGGAATGTTCTAAATAATAATAGTTGAAAAACAAAATAGACAGATAAATAGTTATAGCAAATCAGTAGATAGGAATAATTCTAGAATTGGTGATAAATAAAAGTTCAGAATAGTTTTAAAAAAAAATTGTAAGTTTGCTAAAAATAAAGTATAAAACTATCAAAATTAACAATCATTTGGCATACACACATACAGTATAAACAAACAAATTATAATTAAAACAAAACTCAGACTATTTTAAAAGTAACTATTGTAGAGTCTAAAGATTTGTTGAATTATCAGAGTACTAAAATAGAACAAATATGATGAATTATAATAGAAAATAAAAATGAAAAAATAATCTTAATTTTTCTAATAATGATAGTATTTCTAAAAATACTACTGATATACTATTCATGTAATAATCCACATTAATATTAACTGTTATTTCTACAATATTTATATTTACTTCAAGTTACAAGCTATTTCTACTACAATCTGACCAGATTATATTATATAATATTATTAGATCTTATTACTAAATGGTCAAGTCAAAAATAAATCTTTGATGTATATTTATACCTTATTTTTAATACAAAAGTTTCTTGTATATCTCTCTTTCTCTTCGATATAAATTTGAGTTTGAATGGACACAAATAAAAGAGTAAGTGTTGTAGTCATTAATTGAAAAAAAGCATATTACTGGTGTCTCCAACTATTAAAGCATGGTTAGGACATATGGACATAAAGATTAATTGATATAACAAGTATCAATTTTGCAAATAGTTAAAATATTAGGATTCTTCCCATGATACAACACTTCTTGAAAATTTTCAAAGGTATATTAACAAAATTTTCTATAAATATCAATCTAGATAATTAATAGACAGAAAATTTATGCAAGCTAAAAAAGAAACTACCCTATTGTTATTAATTACATTTTTTCTTAACTATAAATTCATGGCAAACAAATTCATATATAACATAATAATATGTTACTTTATGCATGGTTTGTATGGCAAATGAATGAGGTTTACTTAAAGAGACTTTCTTTTTTGTTTCTAAGTAGAACCTTCATATTGTCTTGTTTAAAATATCTGCTTTGCTACCAAATTCACCTCTTTAACAAAAAACTCTAACTTCCACTTTATTTGATTCAAGGCACTTCGCTTTATACATGTTTTTAATTATACTGTAATTTTTGAAATAAATAAAACATATAGAATAAACTAATAGACAATATAAACGCTATCTGTTGAATACATGCCATAAATGCTATTATTTGCATAATAACTATCTAATTAATTCATTCTTTCTTGCCATTCTGTAAATTATCTGATCACGATAAATACCTGAAATCTCAATACAATAGTCGCTTATAGTGCCGTTAAAATTTTTTTGCAGGCACTTCGCAATTTATAACATCTTCAGGCCATGCTGTATATTGGTATTTCCACCTTTGGCAGATTTTTGATACCAATAAAAGGCTTCCTTACGGTTTCGTGTAGTTCTGATTCCATTTAGATAACAACGTTCTAGATTATATTGTCCAGTGGCATTTCCACCTTCGGCAGATTTTCGGTACCAATAAAATGCTTTTTTTTTGTCTTTCGAAGTCCCAATTCCATTTTCATAACTATCTCCAAGATTATTCTGTCCACTAGTATTTCCACCTTCTGCTGATTTTTGGTACCAATAAAATGCTTTCTCGTGGTTTTGAGTGGTTCCAGTTCCATTTTCATAACAAAGTGCAAGGCTATTCTGTCCATTGGTATTTTCACTTTCAGCAGATTTTTGGTACCAATAAAATGCTTTTTCATGGTTCTGAATAGTTCCAATTCCATTTAGATAACAATCTCCAAGACTATACTGCCCAGTGATATTTTCATCTTCTACCAATTTCTGGAATCAATAAAATGCATTTTCTTCATCTTTAATAGTCCCAATTCCATTTTTATGATAATGTCCAAGATTATATTGTTCAATAGTATTTCCACCTTTAGCTGATTTTTGGTACCAATAAAATACTCTCTCTTCGTCTTTTGTGGTTCCAATTCCATATTGATAACAATGTCCAATATTATACTATCCAGCGGTATTTCCCCCTTCAGCCGATTTTTGGTACCAATAAAATACTTTCTCGTAGTTTTGAGTAGTTCCAATTTCATAATTATAGCAATACCCAAGATTTCTCTGTCCAAAGGAATTTCCACCTTCAACCGATTTTTGATACCAATAAAATAATTTTTCTTTGTCTTTTGTAGTTCCAATTCTATACTGATAACAATGTCAAAAATTATACTGTCCAGCGGTATTTCCCTTTCGGCTGATTTTTGGTACCAATAAAATGCTTTCTTTTCGTCCTTCGTAGTCCCAATTCTACTTTTATAACACTTTTCAAGATTATTCTGTTCAAAGATACTTTCACATTCGGCTGATTTTTGATACCAATAAAATGCTTTTTCTTGACTTTGAGTAGTTTTAATTCCTTTCATGTAACAATATCCAAGGATATTCTGATCCCAAGAATTTCCACTTTCAGCAGATTCAATGTATAAAGAAAACTGTAAGGAATCCTAAATAATAAATTTATTTTGAAAATTATCGTAAATAATAAATAACCGAGATACATTGCTACAAATTAAATATAGCATGTTATAGTACAGAGGCCTATCATATTATTGTGAACACTTTTATTTTTTAAATAATAAAAAATTTTATTAATAAATAAATTTT